TTCCCACGCCCGGAACCCCCCCCCCCCCCCCCCCGACCTAAATTCCACACCAGCCCCTTTTTCTACGCTCGAGGAAATAGAGTTCCCCGGAGGCACACAGACTCGGGCACAGACAGCACAGGGTAAAAACGGTTTAGGGTGATTTTGCACCGCTCTTCTCTCCGTGGGACGCTCTTTTGGGGTCACAGGGGATTTTTTCCGTTCCAGCCCCAGGCGCCGGGAAGAGCCGCGAGCAGTCGGGGGCGCCGGGGACAAGTGTCGAGGGGGCCCGTTACAGCAGGCCTCGGGTGTACAACACCGGCCAGTGGCCGGGCAGGAGGCACCGGTGGCCCGGCGGAACGAACACGCAGTTCTGATGTGCAGCGGGTACAGAGAGAACCCACGCGGGTCCAGAATCGTGCGAGGAGGGCCGGGCCGGGCCGAGCTGTGCCGCCCGCCACCGGCTTGCTGCGGCCGCCCGGGGGAGGCGCCGGGGCAGGCCCGGCCGGGAGTCGAGCGGCTCCGCTCCCCGGAGTCATTCCCGGGCCACAGAGACAGAGGGAGGGGGAGAGAGAAAGAAAGGAAAAAAGCAGAAGGAAGGAAGGGAGGAAGGAGAAAGAAAGAAAAGAAAGAGAAAGAAAGAAATATAGAAAACAGAGGGAGCGGGGTATGTGAAGAGAGAGAGAAAGAGAAGAGGGGAGAAAAAAAGAGATGAAAACAGAGCAAAAAATGAGAGAGAAAAGAAAAAGGAAAAAGAAAAGGAAAAGAAGAAAAATAAAAAAAATCAAAAGAAAGAAGGGAAAAGGAAAAGAAAGCCTGAAAGGAAAGGGGAAAGGAAAGAAAAAGAAAAAGAAAAAAAAGGAAAAGGAAAAGAAAGTCTGAAAGGAAAGGGGAAAGGCAAAAGCAAAGTAAAAGGCAAAGCAATGGAAAAAGGAAAGGAAAAAGGAGAGGAAAAAGTGAAATGAAAAAGGAGAGGAAAAAAGAGATGAAAGGTCAGGAAAAAGGGAAAGGAAAAAGGAAAGGGGAAAGGAACAGAAAAAGGGAAAGGAAAAAGGGAGAGGGAAAAGGGAGAGGGAAAAGGGAGAGGGAAAAGGGAGAGAGAAAAGGGAGAGAGAAAAGGGAAAGAGAAAAGGGAAAGGGAAAAGGGAAAGGAAAAAGGGACAGGAAAAAG